CCCTAGCGATGCTACGGCCTGTTAGCTATGGCGTCGAGAGCTCTGGTGCTCCGGCCCGGATCTCCTAGGAGGTCCCCTGGGGCCGAAGCCCCGAGGCAACTCATCGATCCGCGCATCGATCGGTCCTACTTGTAGTCTAATCGCACGGGAGTGGGGATGCCGCCGCGGTGGGGGCCCCGCGATGCGCGACGCCGATCCGCGGCTGTCGTCGCAGCTGAATTTGCTGTCCGATATGAAACAGTTTCCAGTGGTATGTGGACAGAAGAGGATGAAGACGCCGAACTTAGAAATGACGATGAAGAAATATCAAGGTCGAAATTTATAAAATTAAAGGACAATACCCGAATGCGAATAAGAAATAAACCAACTGTACTTCGTCACCGATATTATACTCTGAACAGTGACAGAGAAGGATATTTCTATAACTTACTAGTGTGTCACATTCCATTTCGTAATGAAAGTACATTTATGACCGAAAACGAATCTTTGGAACAATGTTTTCTTCGACGGCAACACGAGTTGAAACCTATGATGGGTAACGCAACCGTCGAACAATTTACTCACGCAGAGCAAATTATTGAAGCGGCGCTCGCCCAGGCTGCTGCTTTAAATGTTGTACAAGAAGAAGAAACCAATGAACATTTAGGAGATCCAGTCAGAATTCATGCTGACGAAACAATACATTACGATCAAGTTGATTTATATGAAGATCAACAGCAACAAGAAACAATTGCAATGCCAGATGACGTGTTCCTTAATAGTATTCGATGTCTTCATATTCAACAGAAAGACTTATTGAAATTAGTTTCCGCAGTAATTGAGAAAGATATTAAACAAAATGATGATGATGAAAATACCGAACAAATGTTGCTTTTTATTACCGGAGGAGCTGGTAGCGGTAAGTTGTTTATTTTAAAATTACTTGTTGAACATGTTAAACGCTGCTATAATCCTACAATTGATACGATGATAAAACCATCTTTCATTGAAGTAGCTTCTTTGACTGGCGTCGCCGCCCGTCAAATATTCGGAAAAACTTTGCATTCCTTGTTCTCGTTACCTATTGAAAAAGGTACTGCAATGACCTATCGACGACTGACAGGACAAAGGCTCGAACAGGAGAGACGAAAGTGGCGTCATACGAAGTGGTTGATTATCGACGAGATATTAATGGTATCTTATGAGAATTTGCGAATAATTCATTTAAGATTGCAAGAATTCAAAAGCAATGATAAACTATTTGGCGGCATAAATGTACTTCTCTTCGGCGATATCATGCAGTTGCCCCCAGTAAAAGGACACTGGTGTTTTGAACAGCCACATTGGTGTACTGCAGAAATTAATTTATGGCACCAATTTTTATTCTGCGGACTCACCATTAGTATGCGACAAAGAGATGACGTTGAGTTTATCGACTTACTGAATAACCTTCGGTTTGGAGAAGTGACAATTTCTCAACTACAAATACTATGCGAACGAAGAAGAGTTCCCTTAACCGGAGAGTTCGAGGATGGTGCAGCAGTAAGAATATTCCCAACGATAAAATTAGTGGATGAATATAACACAAAAATGACAGATGAATTAGCAAAATTACGTCGAATGTACGTCATTGATTCAATAGATGAATCCCGTGAGGCAGCTACATATGGAAAAAGGCCACCAGAAAATGTCATACCTGTAAATGTGTATAATTGTGGCGGACTGTTACATACAATAACATTAACTGAGGGATCGCGAATTATGCTGCGACGAAACCTATCAATTTCTGATGGTTTGATAAACGGCGCAATGGGAATAGTAAAGAAATTTACGTGGCCGGCACTTCGAAGAGATCAACTAGAACAGGGAGAATTGCCGGATTCAGCACTTATAAAATTTGACGACGAATCCATTGGAAATAGATTCAAAGATTTTGATGGTAACATTCCAATATCTCCAGTTTCAGCAATGTTTCAAGCGACAAAAGGTTATGGAGACGTCGAGCGCAGAATGTTACCACTTATTCTAAGTTGGGCAGTAACGGTGCACAAATTACAAGGGACTACATTGAACAAAGCTGCAATTGATCTTGGCAAAAAGAATTTTGCAAAAGGCCTAATTTACGTACCACTTAGTCGTGTTAAAAGTTTAGATGGTCTAGTTCTATCTGATTTAGCACCAAACAAAGTCCTCGTTAAACCTCATGACGAGAGAGCACTCGCAGAAATGCAAAGATTACGACAGTTGCTTTTGCAAAGAAACAGTCCAAATCAGCTTCCAGCGCCTGATATGTGAAGAAGCAAGCCAAGCCTTTTTTTTTATTTGTTTTATTATTAGCGACCAATTAGTAAAGAAACTAACGAAGTTTACTTGCAGGGACAAGTTTGAAAAATCGCGCTCGCTACATTCCTTGCAGAATAATCCTAAAGAATAGGTTTTTTTGCAATAACGATAGTTATTAACAATAACATACATTTTTGCAAATGGAATTATGGTGGAAAGATGTACGAGATGTGAAAAGTTTCATCGCAATCGGTGTATTCCTTATAGAGTAGCGGTATAGAATCGGATTTTGCAATAACAATAGTTATTATTATATGTATATGCATACTGAATTTCGGTCGACGCGATATGTGTATAGAAATAGTAGAGAATCGGCGACTGCATGCTGACTCATACACCGGTACAGACACGTAGGCATACGTACAATTCAATGTAGTAGTAACAATAGTTTTGCACGAATATCTCGGAAACTAAAGCATTTCGTTAATTATGCATAATGAAAAAGTTGTTCAGAATCATGCCCCCGACAACATATTAAAGGGTCATTGAAATCGTCCTATGTCGAGATTAAAAACTTCTCGTATTTTGCAATAACAATGAAAAAATGAAAAATTTTTTTTTAATGGGACCAACCGGAAGACATACCCTACAAGATGCAAAAGGTTTTGTTTCGATTGGTATATCCATCTCGGAGTAATCGGTGAACACACAAAAAAAAAAAATACATACTGATCGAATTGAGTAACCTCCTCCTTTTCGAAGTCGGTTAAAAGATTGGCGACTATTTGGCCATTGTACGGCGGCCGGCGGCGCTTTAGCGAAATAATAACAAATTCTTTAACAAACAATATTATTATTTGCAAATTCTTGTGGGAGCGACGTGTGAAGAAATTAAACGTAGATCCGTTTATTCGATTACTTCCGGATATTAGGATTTGCTATTTTGTGGCAGTGCTGCTTCCGTTTGTGAAAAGCAGTTGTATTCACTGAGATAAACGTAAAAAATTTTTATTTTTATTTTACCATGAAAATCAAGTAGTCGCCAAATTTCAGTATATTTGTTGAATATCGTATATTCAAAGCTTCGATGAAACCGTTAGCAGCTCGTAAAGACAGTTCGACAGCCTTGTCCTTACGCGATCCGCCCCGTGTCCCGCAGAACTGTTTTTCTTAATTCGATCTGAGAATTGAAAACTTCAAACGCACGCTTCGCAATAACGCGATGAGTGTGAAAGTCAAGTCGTCATCGAAACATTCATTGTTCAGAAAAATCTTTTATCGAATTATTCCCAGTCCCGCGGGCTAGTTTATCCTTCTTCTTAATCGGATCGATTCGACACAAAAATTAAACCGATATGAAACATAATGACGGTATTCGTAATCAGCGTATAAAAGACGCCATAACCCGAAATTTTTCCATAACCCGACAATGCGTTTCCCATCCGGTGCGCTGCACTTGGAAGTTTCCCCTACAGGAGGCGCAAGGAAGGGCATTTTTGACTTCTCCCATTTTCCGTTATTCTCGTTCGCGCTCCCCCTATCTTGTGCCTCCTCGTCGAGTGCGCTGCACTTGAAAGTCTTCTCCACGGGGAGCACAAGAAAGGGGTTTGAGATTAAAATAATAATTCTTTTTTTTCTTTCCTTTATTAGCTTCAATAGTTCAACCGTCTAATATATCGAATTCGTGTACCTCGTCAGTGCGCAGCACTTAAAAATATCCCAGGCGAGGCACACAAAGGAGGCTATATTTAGTTCTATCAAATAATACAAGTTAACCTTCCTTGGGACGATTGCCTCGTCGAAACTACGTATTGGAAACACATAGAAATTCGAAACCGTTAAGGTTAAGGAGAGATGTCATAAACATCCTTCGCCGCGCGGTTAAGCAGTGCGTCGCACTTGGAAGTTTCCCAGCTTAACCGCGCAGAACAAGGGAAATGCGATTTTTGTTTTACCTCGCAAACGAAATACCTCTCCTACCTGCAAAGCATGCGCCAGCCAGTCCTTCAACCGAAGAATGAATGCAATTAGATACGAAGGTGATTGGATTTGAATGATCCAAAATGTATGAATAAGAACGAAATGCGAGGGTTTGCGTGACAACCACTGTAGTTTGAAATCGTCGACCGTCGTTCAAGAACGTTCAAGACAAAGGTCGACTAGGGCAATAAAGATTTGGCAAACGTTAAGCGTAGAAATATTTCGAATATACGTATATCGTCGATAATTAATAATAATTAATAAACGCGGGTCTAGTATTTAATAGATACACCAAAAACATGCGCATATATCCGCGATTTAACGATAACGATAAAATATCGATTGCCTTCTATCACGTAAATCACATAAACGCTAATAAAGAACAGAATAATTAATAATCATTCAATACATCAAATTAAACAGCTATCATAATTAGACCTTTTTCAATACTGGAAATATTATTGATAAAAACCTCTTTGATTAACGAATTCAAATAAATTCAAGTCGTAATACGTTGCGAACATTCCAGAAATATTGGAATTGCGACGCACGAATTCCACAGAATAGAGGGGTAGAAAGAAATAGACAACGTTAGACGAAGGTAGCGTTAAAGGTCAAGAAGGGATGAGAAGCGAAGAAGTACGGCCAGCTAACCCAATACGCACGGGACTTCCCCTCCGACACGTACCCAGATTTGCCAAATGATGTCCCCACTTTGGGGTACCGATCGTGGGTCGAACCCTGAGACGTCGATCGCTTGACTGAGGCAAATCACTCTTCGTCGAAAAATCGTAAGGTACGTGACGGGGAGCCCGTGTTCGCGTAGAGACATAGTTGTCGACGAATTCGCGTAATTAATCTGCTCGGCAAAGTTCCTTCGTGTAACAAGGCAGAGTGTCGAGATTGTGTTTAATTCGTGTTTTCGTGTCAACGACTCATACGAATAAGTTAAATTCTTTCATACTTTTCAATTTCTATCCTTTTCTCTTTCGATTTTAAATCGTTCGTTACTTAGATTTTCTTTTTTTTCCGCGTCGCGTTGTTTTCGTATATCGTCTCGTAACCGTAACACCGAATAATAAGAAGGCCGATCGCGAACGCGTAGTGCGGACGTGACAGAGTTTTCATTTCTTCTTCGCCTTTTCCAGATTTCCAGACTATCACCAGCATATACAGAAAGCTAATATATATATATATATATATTGTTTAACATCGTAATTGGTGAGTTTGTCTATTTCATTCTATCTGCTACGACGAATCTGGTTCATAGTGAGGCAAAACGGGCGATCTACGGGACTGCGTGTCCTGGAAATTTCCCACTAGATCGTGCTGTTCATCGTCGCGTTCAAGGTATCAAATATATCAATCTTATTTTTGTAAAAATTCCGATCGAAGCAAAAGAGAGACGGCCCACGAGACCGCGGTCTTGGAAATTTCCCCTTGGGACCGTCTCCTCTCGCCGTGCAATAACTGTTTGTTACACATCGTCGTTCGAATCAAACCGAATCAAAATTTAATTAAATCAAATAGTTTACCTTCCGTTACAATTTTATGTTATATTCTCAACTTAATAGATTTCACTTTTATATTTCTCTTATTACTGCATATTTCATTTACCATTTTCTTGTATTTCACACAGCTCGGACCTTTTGTTAACCAACGTTTTCATTGTTATAATTATCTTTTCTTGAAATTATATTTTTGTTACTCATAAACAGTCTCTAACTAATTTCTCTTCAACACATTTCCTTCCTACACATTCACGCCTACCATCTACATACAAATTCACACGAGGGGCCCGTATGGGACCAGGGCATTGACGGACTCAGCAGTAAATCTATAACCTAATTTTACTGATTTCTAATTGTTCTAATCGTAAGTGATTTAACATCGTCACAAGCGATTAGGACTGGTGGTAGCGCTTTTTCTACCGCATACTAAAATTCTAATAGATAATTTCTATCCATCTAAAAATACTAGAACACTCGTATATTTTTATTATTTTTGTACGTCGCGCGCCGTATCTCACTGGCTACGTAACAATATTTATTGTGCGGGGAGCCTCTACCGCCTCCCCTCCCGCGGTAGGGGTGGCGACGCGTGCCGGCAGCTGTTCCTCTTTTTGTAATGTGAAATTTAAAATGTTATATAGTTCAACCATTTTGAAATTAATTTTATTTTATTATTTACGACGCAAATGGGTTAATCATTTGTTCGGTAAGATCTGTGATACTTACTTCTTGTGTTCTCAGTGAGGAATCACTTCCAAGTGCACACGCACCCCGTCGGGTTAGGGTTCCGTCGAAAAACACAAGATCGGAGGAGCGCGACCAACGAAACGAAAAATTAGAAAGAAAGGCCCTTCCTTGCGCTCCTCACGTGGAATACTTCCAAGTGCTGCGCACCCGATGAGGAACGCAAGGTCGGGTTAGTGAAAAAGGTAACCCGGACGTGACAATATTATGTCTTTTTTAAATAGTTAGTTTTTTTTTGTTTATATAAATAAAAATAATTTCCAAAAAGTATTATTCACATTGTTTTCTTTTATTTATATTTAACCATCTAAATTCGATCAATATATTTTTTTTGGTTGATAGTTATTAGGTATCCAATAAAAATACAAAACATCCTTACGGTATCCTTCAAATACTGCTCGTTGTTCGGGAGAAAACCGAACGTTTCAAATTTGAAATATGTAAACTTAGTTTAAAACGGTTAAGACTTTCAACACATCTTTACGGATTTCTAATCGTTTATGGATTCCCGAAATAGAGCACCATAAATCAATTCAGTTATCTAATAATAGGCTCTATTGAGAATCTAAACCGTTCTATAATAACGCAACAGTCTTCCCCTTTGTGCCAGGTGTTTACATGTCGCCTCGCTACCGTTTCGTCGACTCGCCTGGCCGACGGAGCGTGACGAGTTCGGCGGAGAGGTGACGGGCGGCCCCTGGAACAAAGGGGGCTCCCCAATATTTAAGCGGGCGAATTTTAACCGCTGTTTCGTTATTCTTAATCTGTCTTCGGTCGCCGAAACGTCGCGCTTCGCCAGAATTCCGAACTCTGCTGCTTCGGGAGTACGCGGATACAGAATAAAGTCTTTCTTCAAGTTTCTCATTTTATTACTCTTAGCATTAAGCCTTTGTCAAATTTGTACAACCGTCGAAAAACGAGCTTAAATACATTTAATTCACCGAAATCGACTCCGGTTATTTCTTAAACATCGCATCGTCCTATCGTCCGGCACCTCTTCAAAATTCACCGAGTCTTCCAATCGCCTCCTTCCTCACGGCGACGAAACGCGTGAACACTCGTTCCACTAAAAAGTGTGAAATAAAATAACTTTTAACAAAAAAAAACCGACTTCGAAATGCGTTAAAAAGTATAAAATAATTTATATTTCGTTTATACAACTACGTAACAATTATTATTAATAAAACTTGCGGCATTAACAAAATGCGCTAGAAGTTATAAAATAATTTTTATTTCATCTACACCAATATTCCACAGCTATTAATAAAATCTACTTAATCGTTAAATAGTATACTAAATACATTTCAACCTGTTTCGGAGTGTTACGTCGCAAGCGAGATACGGCGCGCGACGTACAAAATAAAAAAAAATTAATAATTATAATAAATTGGCTGATACGCGGTTGAGGACGGTATTAGCGCTGCCACCAGTCCTAATCGTTCGAGACGATGTTAGATCCTTCGCGATTAGAACAATAAAAGAGTTGATAGATTAATTAATAGTTAATTAAGATATTAATCGGGTTCGTCAATGCTCTAGTCCCATACGGGAAAAGGAAGTGGTTTGAAACGTAAATGAATTAAACGTAATGAATTAAAAGTAACAGAAAATATAATCTCAGAAAAGTAAATGTGACATTAAAAGTGGTTGGTTAACAAGAAGTACGAGCTGTTTGAAATATAAGAGAGAATAAATATATTATAAAGAAAAGTATGAGGTTATATGAAAATGAAACTATTGATTCGAGAATGAATCCGGTAACAAATGTACTATTGATTATTGGTTAGTTAAAATTTTGATTAAATGATTCGATGATTCGAGCGACGATGTTCGGTGAAGAGTTAAGCGCGAACAAAAAAAGAAAGGACGATCCCAGAGGGTAAATTACCAGAGCCACGGTTTCGTGGGGCCGCCTTCTTTGCGTGTGAAATCGGAATTTTTCAAGAATATTAATATTCGATACCTTATGTCTCGATACTGAACGGAACGATCTAGAGGGAAACTTTCCAGAATACGCGGTTTCGTAGATCGCCCGTTTTGCCTCACCACGTCCAGATTCGTCGTATTGGATAAAATGAAATGGACAACTTACCAGGAATTGATGTGAAATAATATCTGATAATACGTTTGATTGTTTGCTTATTCGCTGGTATCGTTGAGAAATCTGGAAGTCAAAGAAGAGGTGGGAGAACTGCCACTGCACTGCGCGTTCGCGATCGGCCTTTATTTCGGTGTTACGAGACGAATTCAAACTATTACAAACGAACACAAAGTATTTCTAAATCAACGCGACGCGGAAAAAGAAAGAAAAATAATTAATATACGAACGATATAAAATGAAAGAGAAAAGATAGAAATTGAAGAGTATGAAATGAATTTAACGTATCCGTTTGAGTCCTTGTCACAAAACCCCGAACCGAAACACTCTCGGCACTCTGCCTTGAAGAGGACTTGCCGAGCAATCTAATTACGCGATTTTGTTAACAACTCTATCTCTACGCGAACACGGGCTCCCCGCCACGTACCTCACGATTTTTCGACGAAGAGTGATTTTCCTCAGTCAAGCGATCGTGTCTCAGGGTTCGACCCGCGATCAAGGGCCCAAAGTGGGGACATCATTTGGCAAATCGGGGTACGTGACGGAGGGGAAATCCCGCGCGTATTGGACTAGTTGGCCGCTCTTCCTAGTTCTCTCATCCCTTCTTGACTTTTCCTTCTACCTTCGTCTAAGGTTGTCCATTTCTTTCTACCCCTCTAACGCTACGGCTGATTTCATGCGTCGCAATTCTAAAGTTCTGGAATATTCGAAATCTGTTACGACTTAATTTATTCGAATTTGCTAATTAAAGAGGCTTTGTCAATGACATTTCCGGTAGCGAAAGAGATTTTCATTTAATTACAGATATTGGATTTACTGTCTTGAATGACCATTAATTGAATAAAGTTAATCATTATTCATTCGTTAATTATTTTGTCTATCTTCTTTTTAGCGGTTTACGCGAGATGCAACCAGTGTTTTATAATCGTTGACAAATTGCGGATACATGCGTGTTGCATTTAGTTAATATTCATTCCGCGCTTATTAGTTATTAACATTCTTATTCGTATCTCGACGATTTACGTATATTCGAAACGTTCTACGTTTAACGTTTAACGACGATGTTTATTGTCTCGATCGACCTTTGTCTCGAACATTCGTGAACAATTTCGAACTACAGCGGTTGTCACGCAAACCCTCGCATTCTAATATCATTCAAACAGTTTTCATTCCGTTCAATTCCAATCGCTTTGTTCTTAATTACATTCACTCCTCGTGGAAGGGTCGGCTGACGCATGCCTTGCAGGTATGAGAGGTACCTCGCTAATAAAATAGAAGAAAATTCTTCTTTATATTGCACGGTTAAGTTGGGAAATTTCCAAGTGCGTCGCCCTGCTTAACCGCGCGGTGAAAGATGTTTACGATACCTCTCCCTAAACGGTTTCGAAGTTTTTGTCGCGGCGTAGTTTCGACTAAGCAATCATCCCAAGGAAGGTTGACTCGTATTATTTGAAAGAACTAAATATAGCCTCCTTTGTGTGCTTCGCCTGGGATTATCTCCAAGTGCTTCGTACTGGCGAGGTACACAAATTTGGTATATTGACGGTTAAACTATTGAAACTAATAAGAGAAAAGGAAAAAGGAGAGTTATAATTTTAATCTCAAACTCCTTTCTTGTGTTCTCCGTGAGGAATCACTTCCAAGTGCACACGCACCCAACGGAAGAGCACAAGATCGGAGGAGCGCGAACAGGTAAACGAGGAGAAGTAAGATAATCAAGGCCCTTCTTTGCGCCCCTCACGTGGAAAATTTCCAGATGCAGCGCACCCGATGAGGAACGTAAGGTCGGGTTAATGAGAAATGAACCCGGACGTAACAGAAGGCGGCGCTAAATTAAAAACTTTACTTCTATTAGGAAGATCCTAGTTCAGGCGTCGGCAACCTGTGACAAATGGCTCATTTAATAATTTCAAGTAAACAGTATTCAACGTGTTCGCGCGAATCGCGCTGATTGACTCTAATGTAAACTATTTTGACAATAGGTCGCCCGATGGCGACAGCGTTTAGTTTAGGCGAATTTAGAGAAAAGAGTGGGGCGCCGTGACGCGCCAGCGAGCATTCGCGAAAGCAATATAGAACGGTACGGAGCGTCGTACGTTGCAGGCGAAAAACGGAAAAGGTGTCGCGCGTCGCGTTGTACACGCGCTGCAGAAGTAAAACGGTACCCACGTGCGAGGCCTCGTGATCCGGTCGTCCGAATTGTGTAGTGGATTTGAGTGTGGTGAACGGGCACGAAATGTGCAATAAGATTTTCCCCACGGAGTGCACGGCATGGCGTGGAGTGCACGGGCACATGTATGTGCATTTTCCCCTCTCCCCTGAGCGGGCACATGTATGTGCATTTTCCCCATGGAGTGCACGCCATGCCGTGGCACAAAGAGAGGTGCGTGGGCGTACCATGGCGCGCGGGTCGACCAAGCGTGCGTTTAGCAGTAAGAAGCACCCCCCTGCGAGCGAGAAGCG